CATATGTTCATACATTGTATCATACATACTTGCCATTTTTGAAATAAATAATATTATCCCTATCAACGGATACTGGACCGACAATGCATACATACCATCTCACTTTTCATATTTACTGGAATTGAATTTATATTTGAAGCAAACGCCTCAGTGAGGGTGCTATAACCTGAGCCTATTTTTGTACCGTCTCTAAAAGGTACCCAGGGGTAACAATTGTTAATAATATTCTGATCCTGAAGTAGGTGGTGTAAGTAGTGGGTTTTGAGGTATGGTACTTTTAGTTCCTTTTTTTTCACAAATCTGCTTCCATTTTTAAATTGAAATTTGTCTTCACGGTTTTGGAAATTACACGGACGAGACACTTGCAAACGAAGAAACCACTGTTTATGTTTAAAAATTATTCCAACCACAACAGCGGATAATTTATTTTCTAAACTAGAATTCAACGACATCATAAAGACAGCCCGAATTAGGCTCTTTTTCGCTTTCGTGAGCAATGCACTAAAATGTTGCCTTACAATGAATTTTGTAATCGAATTACTCAGATGGAAGCATCACAAACAACTGAAGTTGACGCAAATTCCGAAATAGCTGGAGATGACATAAATACTTCACAGAACAAGGCTTCCGGAGTGTTTCATAGGAATACAACCACACGTCCGTTATCCACTTTAAGTCCTCAGGAAGTGAGCGAGTGGGTTCTGAGTTGAAACGGTTCAAGGCTCTACATTTTGTTGAAGATGAAGAACTCAATCAGTTATGATGTCACAACGGCGGTCATCGCTGGCAAATTTGGGGAGTATCTGACAACATAGTTTGTGGCTCAACACATACCGGCGAGCGCCCACGGGATGATTATCGAACAGCTCAATCGTCGGGTGCAGCCGTGAAAAAACAAGACCCGCGCTAGATGCAAGGTTCGGTTATGTAAAACACTCATGCGTGGACGAAGCTACGACTGTTACAACCAGTTATTTCATACACCATCGTTCCAAGGTGATATCGATCAGTTCGACTATCCAAGTATCATTGCCGCAGGTGACGACTTGTGAATGATCATTCTTGCAAAAAAAATAAACCTGTCATGATCACGATTTCAAGCAAAGCTAGTACCTTCACTTCAGCGAAGGTTTATCGTCGTGGTTGTCAAAATGAAGACACCCTTTTACCGGCGGGGAAGTACAACCATCACAAAATGAATCGGGCTCTTTAGCGAAACAACCCCCCCCCCTGGTGACTGCGAAGACGGTTCACTTTATGTCTACTACACCACCACCCTTGCCACAGATCGGGTTACAAATACTGTGCCACTTCTGAATGCATAGAACGCATAGACGCGTCTCTTTTTCTGAGATTACAGAAATAAGACAAGTCTTGCCGGGTGTAGCCGTGAAAAGAACAGGACCAACGCTAGATGAAAGGTTCGTTTATGTATAGCACTCATATGTGGACGAAGCTACAGCTGATACAACCAGTTATTTCATACACCATCGTTCCGAGATGATATTGATCAGTTCGACTATCCGAGTAACATTACCGTAGGTGATGACTTGTGAATTATCATTCTCACAAACAAAAAAACCCCTGTCATGATCACGATTTCACGCAAAGCTAGTACCCTCACTTCTGAGAAGGGTTATCGTCATGGTTGTCGAAATGAAGACACCCTTATGCCGGCGCGCAAGTACAACCATCACAGAATAGATCGTGCTCCTTAGCGAAATATCCCCCCCTGGTGACTGCGAAGACAGTTCCTTTATTTTTGTCTACTACAACATCACCCATGCCACAAATCGGGTTACAAATACTATGCCACTTCTGATTGCATAGAACGGACAGACGTGTCTATTTTTTTTTTAGATTACAGCATAAGACAAGGTCTCATCGGTGTAGCCGTGAAAAAATAAGACCTGCGCTAGATGCAAGGTTCGTTTATGTAAAACACTCATACGTGGACGAAGCAAAATTTTAAATTGTATCCCTGACCTGAAATAAAATCATATTCCAAAATTCAGAAATATGAATTTGAATTTGAATTTTCATAAGGGATAATATTATTTATTTCAATTTGGATAAAGTTTTATGTCTACATATACATCAGACTTCATATTCATTGGAGAGGTTCTGGGAAAATTGAAGGGAAGTTGAGATTGCCGAACTGCCGCGAGAAGCTCAGATACTATCCGACTTATGAGTGCTACTGGTAATTTATACTGAGTTTGGCTTACTTTCTAAACTAACATAGTTGGTATGATTTGTACAGAATAATACGTAAGTCGGTAATAAACATAAACCTTTATCCAAATTGAAATAAATAATATTATTCCTATCCGAGTTAGCAAAAAGGATTGGTGATATTCCCCTCGTTTAAAGACTGGCCCTAAAAAAATCAAGGGTTCATTGTTCTATTTGTTATTTTTTTTTCTATCTATAGTTAATATTAAAACTTTTCAATTTTAATTGATGAATGAATAAAGATTTTTATTTTCAAAATATTCTAGTATTTATCATGTATTCGAATACATGTAGGAAAGTGCACGTTAACGGATATGGCCTATCCGCTAACATGACACTGACATGTCTCTTTTAAAGGGACAAGATATCATCTCAACGATTTTGGAAATGATGGCGATCGCCCTAAAAATTATAAAGAGTTATTTAACCTTTGCCACAGAATACTTCACAAAACTGCCGAGTGTGGATTTGGCATAGACAAAAAAGATTCCCAGCGCTAAAGCATGCCTGTGAGCTAAACATGTATGAGGAACCCAAACTACGTTCTTTTCTTCTTCTGTATTTGCCATTGCAACCGACCCGAGGAATGATGATGAGTGGAGCGATGAAGAAGATGAACTAAACGACGATACAGACACTCACGATTTGTTTGAAGATTACGAGACCACTGTTCAACAAACACTAGGTATGTTATTTTGTGATATACGGTTTTCATTAGTATCTTAGTACGTCCGTTGCGATACATTAGTACAGCAATTTATTATGAATACTCTCTGATCTTCTGTTGCAGATGGACACCGCTCTCGTGACTTGGGAGATCCACTGGATCCAACATCGACTCAATGGGAATATGCCGGTAAGATATTACCAAAATTGGGCACACCAAGTGATGATGATTCGCGTATTAGAGTAAGTATGCGTAACGTTGTTAACTGGCGCTCGATGGAAATGTGGAAAGATTATGAACTATACAGAGCTGAGCATAATACATTGAGTGATTCAGTGGTATGCAATTAATGAACAATTAAAACATCAGTTGTGTTATATTTTACATGTCACCCTCTACTTCACTATGGAAGAATGAAGAGTCGGTATTAGAATCAATATCAGTGATGTTATTGTTATTGTTATCAATGCTGATGTTCTGTGTAGCTTGCTTTAACTCTACATTCCATTCCATACTAAAGAAGTCGGCAAATTCTTGTTCGAAATTATCCATGAAGATTTCTCCGCAATTGTGTTCATGAACATCGTAAGATATTATGAGTGTTCGATACGAGGTATCTGCTTTAAATAAAAGTCTCATCTTATTGATCATTAAAGATGACGGGTTAGACTATTGAATAAGATCACGGTATCGTGCACCACTCATCCACAGATATCTTTTCGGGATTCACATCACGTTTACGACCATTAAAACTAGGTAAACATGTGTTGTGTAGAATTGAGTGTACAGGTGATTAATTTTTGAATGTAGCAGAGTATATATATACACTTACGGCCTCTGGCTCAGAAGTTTTTATGTCAGTGTACATACATGTGTTAGCACATATTGGCTTTGTAGTATGTTTATCATTTCGCTGAGGTTGCTACACGTTGAACAGGCTACAGAGCTTGAGGTTCAGGATGATGCTGTTGCTGCCGAGGAGCTAGTCGGCTATGAACCTGGGAATCCTGATAAGGGTGTAAAGCGATTGTCATATGTATGTGTTCTCATACAATCAAAGCTCGGGATTATCTTAGGTCTGCGCGACCATCTATGCGAGAAACGTGTATGCGGACCTTACAAAGACGTGAGGAAACGCAACGATATACTCGCCACTGTTGTACGATCAGCTAATAACCTCATCTCTTTCCATGCTGTAGCTGTGCGCGATGGAAGTTAGCAGTTTCCTGAGATAGACCTCGCGGAGGACTTTCACCCCAAGGAACATGCACAGGGTTGGGCAAGACGCAGGCCTCATGGCGAACATTATGGACAATCGACTATAAAAGACTATGTACACGATATAAAGGACATGTTTTGGAAGGGAGAGGTCGACTCCTCACTCAAAATGCAGCCGGGATCTATGCTTGCACAATTAAAGGTGATGTATCCTGGGCGTTATTCCCTTTCCAACGAGATGGGTATAAGGACGCAAATATCTACTTTGATGCAGTCAAAAAAAAGGTGCCGTGGCTCAGCATACGAAAGAGATGGAAGAAGCTAGCAAAGAGGCCTGGGCAAGAGCTCAAACTACAACCAGAGGTGAAGAGTACATCCCCATCGCCAAGAAGTCGCGTAAGAAAACTGAGAAATTCCCTAAAGCATATCAGAAAGACTTGCAGGATATAATTGACGAGGATATTGCGATTCAAATAGCAAAACATAATACATCGGTTAAAAGCAAAGTATGCTAAGGAGGTGTGATGGGAGTTTTTATAAAGACTGGCCAACAGACGATAAATCAAGAGTGAGATTACATACTGTAGGACCTAGGCAAAAAAAGTACAACCTTCGGTCCATGTTGTAGTATACATGTGCACCAACATCTACTGTAGGAGGACAGTAATAAGTTGAATAATGTTCTTATAGGCTTATAATAACAGACCATTACGTTTTTTTGATTTATTAATGTGGTTTTCTAACTCGTTTGACACACTAAAAGCAGGATTTACGCTAAAAGAATTCCATTTACTCAGATGTGCCATTGCGATCTAATGACCATTAAGTGCACAATTTGACCACAACCTTCAATTGTACGGCATGTACCACCTTAAGGATCATCATAGACACTAATCATAAGTTATTAATGAGTTTTAGAGCCTTAGAACACTCGATTAGTGCTATTATTGTAGAAATACGGCCTCCGGTCAGTCTAAAATATCAAGATCAAATGAGATAACACATTGGTTTTTATTTGTATTTTAAATAATTTAATACAAGTTCTTTTTCCAATATTTCCAAAGTATTCTAAATTCACTTTGATGGCTTCAATAGCCTGAGTATTTAGTATGACTCATTCACTTGGATCTATCTGAGACGATAGTAGATGTAGGATATTATGAACTAAATTTTATAATCTCTGAACTACCACTTACAGGTTGGTCTTCCCGCCAATCTCCAAAATCCATAAAACTTTTCTTCGGATGGAACTTTATTTATATTAGCTAATGTATTGACTTGACTTACGTTCTTATGTCTATCTACAATTAGACATGGGGTCATGAACACTTAGTACTTCTAGTGAAAATTATTCAATAATGAACAGCTAGAGGTACATCCTGTGTGATCGAAGATATTAAGGCTCTTACCAAGAGGCAGTCCCGATCATTCTTACACTAGCTACCACTGCTAGATCCTAACTGGCTTAATTTGCATTTTAGTTTATATAATATAGTTTAAAACATAGAAATATCCATCGATTCATCATGGCCAAACTTCACAAAACCATTAGCAGGTGAAATATTGGTGCTACGACTTAGGTTCAAAAACAAGAATTTATCAGAAATATCTGCTTAATCCGTCTAGAGTGATAAATCAAGGTTTAGACTATTTCCGCATTTAATTATAAACCTGCTGCCCCAAGATTTTAGGCCCTGTGGTCCGGTTGGTTGACGATATTTTAGTTAAAAAAAATAAAAAATGTTGTGTAGTGTATGGAGTGAAAAACTTGATAATACCTAAGTATGAGTAGGTGGGAAGTGTAGGTTGCACTAATTGTGGTGGCGTGTGTAGGTGGCTAGAATCGTAGGTGGCGTGTGTAGGTGGCTCTATTTATGGTGGTTTCAAGATGTAAAAGTCGGTCTCCTCTAGGCTGACTATACAATACGTTAAAACGTTAAAATGCAAAATGTTAAATAAGTTTAGCTTCAGCCCTTGGTAGTGAGCAAAAAGATTAGGGGATTTTAGACTGAGACTATTGTCTATATGCTCCGCTCTAATCACTCACTACTTCGGTCTAGATTTATTTATGTTTTAGTTACTAAAACTAGATATCATTTCATTGGACGCATATTTTACATTTCACGCCTCGAAACAATTATCTACTCAAACTAACCAATAAAATATCTCTAAGTCCAACTTAAGAAAATTAAAAATAAAACCAAAGCACCAAGCTGATGTAGTATACATCTGCATCTAAACCCCATCACTTGGTACCTAGCTCTCCATCCCATTTAAGGCATAGACGGGGCACATCTAGTTGGCTGGCTAGGAGGAATCAAAACCATGTTGTCATAAATTTTAACAACTCTGATCCTGTCCTCTTCTCAGTGAATTATCTTGCTCTAAGATTATTATCGAATTATACCATAGGTTTGTACCAACAAACAATTCATGCCTGAGACCCTCTCTCATGGTACTCCCGTTAATTAGAGATTCCCAAAGTGTCATTTTTAGGTGTCAGATTTGTATCATTCCTATATTATGTACAATTCCAATTTCAGTGGAAAACCCAATCTATATTTGGAAAACCACCTAATTGTCCACAGTAGAGTCCCATACTCTACTGAGTAATATCACATGTTCAGAATCTTGAATATCTCAATTCTTGTTCATGTCTAATTAATTCGTTAAACGTATGCCAGTATTAATAGTTTAAACATTAATACTTTAATACGTTTATAATATACGTTAACTGTGCAATTACTATTAGGAACCCGCTACTTTTACATAGCCCCCCCCCCCTATTGAAATTCAGAGATCAAACTTAAATTTACCCAGGGTCAGCCTGACCCACTCGAGAGTGGTGCAAAGTCTAAGCCCCCCCCTTCAGCTTTTCAATTACAATGTTGGCTTACATGTGGTATTAGCACATAGACTCAAAAAGCTCACATGAATTGTACAAGCGAAAAGAAAAGAAACGGGTTTCGATAATACAACGGCCTCAATGCTTATGTTATATTCTCTTAGGCAAAGTATACGTAGACTTTATAAGTTACTCGATTACTCTATTACGTTTGGGCTTTGGTCCTTGTGATCCCCGATGGTGGATGGGACGTTTCTTAATGCCTTTTGGAGGTACGTACTTTCCATGATGTTTAAAGCTAGGAATGTATGATATCTGTGGAAATATCTGAACCACTTCGGGTTGCTTATTCGATGGTAAGATTGCTTCTGCATCAGCCTTATTTTTGTGTAAGCGTTTACGAAACTTCTTAATAAATGCCTTTAGTACATCCGGATCATCAAATGCTGATGGTGGAAGATCATACCGTGCTCCATCGGCGAACTCTGTAGTGTAATATGTCATATCCTCATGTTTGTACTTCCCTAGAATCTTCATAAACCATAAGAGGTGTAGTAGCTTCACGTGTGTGACGAAGGATGATCTCTGTCGTAGGGATTTGATGTGACCCGATATTTAAGGCACTAGAGCCGTCAACATTGTTAACTTCATACGTTCCGCTCTTCATATCGGCCACAGAGATCATAAATGGTCCAATATATTTAGCCGTAAGCACAGTTGTATAGGAGTTGCGAGCCATAATGTTGACTATATCGCCTACCTCAAACGCGACTATTTTCTTGGTATCATTCCATCGCTTTTGTCTCATCTTGAGAGCGATGTCCTTCATCTCCATCAAGCAAGGATAGACCACATCTCTGGCCCGACGCATCTTCTCTAACCATGGTAGCCCATGATCATCTTGAGACTCTTTGTTAAAGGGGATTTGTAATTCACTATAACGGCCCCGGAAATAGTGAGCGGGTGTTGTACCAGTGACTGAATCAGGGGATTCGTTCATCTGTGTCTGTACCCAATTGATGGAGTACGGCCACATGTCAGCATCATCAAGTAGTGCTCCTCGCATGAACTCCTTCATCTTTCTGTGGCGTACCTCGTTCACACCTTGTGTCTGAGGCTTGTAAGGTACACCCATCTTATGGCACGATCCCGCAACGAGTAACAGTGTCGTCATGACATCTCCTGTAAACTCACTACCGTTGTCGGAACATATAATAGCTGGCCAGCCGAAATCTGCGAAGCACTTATATATGCACTCAGCCACAGTTTGTGTCGATTTATCTTTCAGCGGATACAATACATTATATCTTGATGCGACATCAAACACGGGACAGACATATTTATCCTTCGTGTGTTCGGACGTGGGTAGCTCAACCAAATCAATGATAACCCGGCGCCACGGCTCGTCTTCTGATACGCTGCGTAAAGGTGCGTATCCGTAGCGCTTGATCCGGTTAACTTCGCAGTTGTTACATTCGTGATACACCTGAGATATATATTGCTTGAGGTTCGTGTGTACGATTCCGTACCTCTTGCAATCTTTCTCAGTTATAACCTTATCCATGTGCTTAAGAGCATGATTTTGTCTTAACCACTTCAGAATCGCCTCCTGTGATCTACTTGTTACATTGAAATCAGGAGGTGAGAATTCCACCGCGTCATCACCTGGACTCGAAGACTCGTCTTGTCCAATCTCACCTAAAGCTTCTACATCGTGAATCCGACTAATGTTTGATTTATCCATTAGTTGAGTCACATGATCATATACCTCGGGAAAGTCATTCATCAATTGCTTAAGCAATCGAGTTTCTGCTTGGTAAGCAGTTTCCCTGTCAGACCGTATTTTGTTGTAGAAGGCATTTGCTAGTGTTGCGCTCCTCTTTGATTCCTTTGGATTTGGCTGTATCTCGGTCTCGGTAACACATACTGCAGGTGCTTGTGATGTCCCAGTCTCTGATTGAGACAGGATTCAAGAGTGGAATCTTGGATTCATCAACCTTCTGTTTGAAAGTCTCGGATGGTGTCCACTTAGTTGTTCCAACTGGACGTATTCGACATATAATAGTATGTCGTCAAGGCATCTTTTGGACTGCATGGGTACCCTGGTAGAGAAAAGTATCTACCTTTCTATCCACATAGATCGGCTCACATTGTATCATTGAGATCAACTGTGGTAGCCATTTATCTGAGTGTCTTAGGGGACAACACAACGTGATGGTAGCATCTTGAATATGTATATAATTTAGCAACTGTGGTATTAATAGCCATGGAGGATTTGCCCAGGCATTCTCGTTAGACAAGTCAATCTGGAATCCGTCGCCTTTCGGATGTTCCAGTGTCCGGTACCTCGGCAGTTGTGCTTTATGATGAGCGGCAAACATATCTATGGTGTGTGGTCCATGTATGTAGTCTGCGATCTTAAACCACCTAGGATTGACCATCCAATCTGTAGTTAGTAACTCCCTAACCATCTTGTTAAAGTCTGGTACGAGGCGAGACACCATGTCGGGTAAGTGATTTTGAATACCCGGTATGTGTGTTATGCCGAAAGAAAATTTTGCGATCGTGTCATGCCACCGACTGACTAACTGTGAGTTAGGTTTCATGTCCTTTAGGTGTTGCAATGACTTCTGATCACATAGCATGTTAATGTGTATGCCATATAGATAG